CACCATTTTTTGTTTTTAGTTGTCTAAAATGAAATTATTTTAAAGAAAAAAGAAATATTTAACCTTATTGGAATTTTAACCATTTATACTTATTATGCATTTTATCAGTCATCTTTTTTTTAATTATTGTTTTGAAAATAAATACAACATAAACTTGAAACTAAAATTCCATATGATAATTTTTTTAAATATTTTTTAAATTGAAGGCTGTATACTATATTTATATATTCTTTTTTTTAATACCTTTTTGTAATGTTGGCCAAATTTCAAAAACAAGCAAAAATTTTCTTAGAACTACTATTTTTAGTCTATTTTAACTTAGCTATGATTTTAAAAACCAATAAAAATAAATAAATGAATAGTAAACAAGCTTCATTTTTCAAATAGTCTAAAATTTTCCATTTCCAAAATTCATGTGGATATGTGAAGGAAAAAAAAGTAGAAAATGTTACCAAACAAACTCTTCAAATTACAGTACTGACCTCAGGTGTTGTGGCATTATCATGCATTTCTGTATTAAGAAAAAAGTGTTTATTAATTTTCCCTCCCTAAGTAGACTATATAAATACTATATTGATTCTTGTTTGAAGTAGTCATCAATTCAATTTGGTAGTCAAAATGAATTATGTATCAATTAATTATTATTTTTATATAACTATAGCATTATAATTAAATAGGGGGTGAGAATTCCAAAAGATTATGTACTAAAATAAAATAGAAATAAATAAATTCCAATTTTTCAAGTCCATAAACTTTGATGGGCTACTCTAATTTTCTCATACTCAAAGTATGTTTATTTTATCTCTAAAGTTTAACATTTAATTATGCTTTTGATCTTTAAAACTTACAAAATGTCTATTTTAATCTCAAAAATAAAAAAAAAACAAAAAAAACCCAGTTTTATTCTCCAATTCTATAAACTAATAATAGAGATAACATGACTTTGTAAATATGCATATTTTTTTAGTTCATGAAAAAGTTGTATTAATGGTATATATTGGAGCCACATAAATTTGGTTGAGATCAATACTAAATAAATAGGCATAAAAAGGCAAAATAATAGTTATAATCGAAGTTTTTTTTTTTAATTTATGGATTAAAGTGAGACTTATTGACAGTTCAAGAACCAAAACGACTCTTTTTTTTTTCTTTCTAAGGATTTGATACTAAAATAGATATTTTGAAAGTAAAAAGATCGGAAGTAAACAAAACTCACCGATCATGTTTGCTGCCATATCAGCTCCAAAGTCTCTGTTTTGCATCATCAAACTGTGAGGATCATCTTTGATATACCAGTTTTGGTAATGTATGATCCCTATGAAATCAGCAGAGCCCTTCACAAGGCTACTCTCAGCAATGGTGAAATTTGGCATTCTTGAACCCACATTTTTCTTCATCACATTCGGATATTCACCAAACACCAATGGATGAAGGAGCCTAAAATAATGAAGAACAACAAGTGTATCAATCAAATAATTAATCAAGTTTATTTCTTTCAATTCAATGTCTAATTAGTCTACAAATTTTAAAAAAATGTCTCACCAATCAGACACTTTTTCTAGTTGACGGACTTATTAGACATTTTTTAAAATTAGACTAATTGGACAACCTCAAAGTTGATAGACTAGCGGAAAAATATTTTCAACTAATTGAAGTAGTTCATCATATTGCATACTTAAAAAGAAGTGCTTTTGTAAATATTCTAAACTGGTAATGAATTGATGAGTTGAATGTAAAAACTTACCAGTTGACAAGAAACTCATTGCCTCTTTCCACAGCCTTTGCATCTTCTTCTGAATCACTAAAAGGAACAAACCAATACATGTAGATGCTGAGCCCCACAAAGCCATGTTGTTTGTCCTGTATTTTTTTTTTTAAGTTTATTATATATCAATAGTCACCATAAATTTCAAATTTTTGTGTTTATTCTATTCTGGTCCCTAAATTTTTAAATATTATATTTTAGTCCCTGATTTTGCACTACATAATTTTAGTTCTTACTATTATTTTAATTAATAAAAAACTTGATATGAGCATATTTTTGTTTATTTATACACATCGATGAATGCTTGAAACTACTCAAAAACTAGAAACAAGAAACGGTAACATTATGGATCCTTTTACATGTCGGAGTTCCAAATATATTTAGATTATTCTTTTTTTAATTACATATTTAGACTCTTGTTAAATGAGAAAAATTACATGTGAAGGCTGTGGTCTTTTACGTCAAGTTTAAAGACTAAAACAAAACATTAATTTAAAAGTCCAAGGATCAAAACGAACGAACCTGATACGTTTTCTTATACAAACGTGCAGCCGATGCATGTGCCAATAGACAATGATGAACAACCAAGTATGGCTCACTTGAGGAGTTGCCTTTAGAGCAATTTCTTATGCCAAATGGAGATGAGCATCGCTGTGGTGGTAGAAATCCCAAGTCATATCCTCCCATAGCAAATACATTGGGTTCATTCACACTTGTCCAATGTAATACTCTATCTCCAAACTCTCTAAAGCACACCTCTGCATATGCTCTGAAATCTTCTCTACATTCACATTTTGAAAAATGTGTCAGAAGAATAAAAAGTTTAATGACACCATTAAGTTCTGAACTTTCAAGATTCTGTCTAAATAAGATCCATATAGGTTTTACTTTTTTATAGAATAACCATCATGGATGACTCGTTGATCTAAAGGGGTAAGTTAAATTGGAAGGGAATGGGTTCAAATTTCATAATGGTCTCCTATCCTAAGAATTAATTCCTATGTATTTCTCGGTACGAGATCTTTTGTAGGGTTAGACGATTGTCTCGTGATATTAGTTGACGTGTCCGCATGCTGACCCAGACACTCACGAGTATTAAAAAAAATTAGCCAATAGGTCTCTAAACTTTGAAAGTGTTAAATAGATTCTTGAACTTTAAAATTTGTGTCTAATATGTCCCTAAACAATAGAAATATTACTGTATTATTCCTAAGCTTTCAATTTTGTGTCTAATATATCTCTGAAACTTCAATAGAGACTCTTTCAATTCAGTGACCTATTAGAGTATAATTTTTAAAGTGTAGAGACTTATTAGACAGAATCTAAAATTTGAAGAACTAACTTATAATATTTAACCCATAAAAGAGAGTATGAAATAATTGATCCTTACACAATCTTTGGACTGACCCATCCTCCATATTCGTCTTCAAGTGCTCGCGGAAGATCAAAGTTGTGTAACGTTACATGGGGTTGGATGCCTATTTGATCAAATAAATCCACATAATTAATTAAGAATAAAAATCCCATTTAAAAAGTGTGTAAACTTATCATTAATGACTTAACGTAAAATTGTCACCAACCATGACTTATTAGTTCATTTATGAGATTGTTGTAGTACTCTAAGCCCTTTGGATTTATGGGTCCTCTCCCATCTGAGAAATTACAAAACAAAAATCTTATTAAAGTGTAAATGTCTTTTTTGTTTTTCTTTTTTACATCTTTTAATGCAAAAAGACACATATTTATTACTTGGAATAAGTCTTGACCATGAGATGGAAAATCTATAAGCATCAAGTCCAATATCCACCATTAGTTTCACATCTTCCTATAATATATTAGACATAGAGTTTAAGCCAAATTCAAGCATATAAACAAGGGGAAAAAGAAAATCAAATGTAGACCTTGTATTTGTGATACCCATCACATGCTACGTCGCCGTTTCCTCCGGGTCCATCTCCTATACCATATTGAGACAAAAAAAATTTGTTCGTATAATGAATAATAAGAGACCTATATGACATGTTAGTCTGAACATGACTCAATTGGTTAAGACATTTTAATATCGACCAAAAAAGTCAGAGGATCGAATTCCTAACCTCCCGATTCTTTTATTATAGGGTTGAAAATGATAGTGTTAGGTAGGCGTGCCAGAATGAGCAAAAGTATCCCAAATGCTTGGAGTCCTTCCATCTTCTTTCGCTGCTCCCTCTACCTTCACATTTTGTTTAATTTTAATTTTAATTTAATCTCTTTTCTTAATTCAACGACACAAGAGGTGAAATAATTTGAACTTCTGGGATTTGTAAAATTAATCATTTTATATGAAACTAAATAAAATAACCACTCGAATACGACTGTAGACACCGTATTTGGCCCGACTACATTGTTTATTTATTTATTGTTTTATTTTATCTTTAATTTGGATTTTAGACTAAGTTTTTATGTTTAATTGTGTTTTAAGGTAAAGTTTATTTTTAGCAAATATTGACTTTTTTTTAATTATTAAGAATAAAAAACGTTTTTAAAAGATTTTTTTTTTTAAAGTTTTTTTTGCCTCGTCAAAGGCCTACTTTCTTTTCCAGTTTGTTCCCCTTTTACCTCTAAGTTACTTTTTTTAGCATATTATATCGTTGCCCAGTGATGTATTTAAGAGGACGCAAAAGAGAGTTAAAAGGGGGAAGAGGGCTTGAAGTCAGAGAAAAAAAAACTTTGTTTCTCTTGAATCCCATTCTTCTTCTCTCTCTGTGTACAACCCACCGTATCCCTCTTCTTCATCACCTTCAGACTCATCTCTTCGCATTCTAGTTCTTTCCTCATCCATTCTGATAGCAGCTTCCAACCCGACGACACCTGCAGCGGCACCCCGCAAGCTCGGCAGCTTCAGATCC